GGGTCACACACAGCACCAAGTACAGAGGGAAATTCTATCATGGCTGTGCCTCTTACATTTAGCAGACTCTAGAAATAGGTTCCATACATGCAGAAGCTATTTCTCTGCTGTGCTGTTAAAAAAAAAAAATCAGGCCAACACATCATGCAACTTGCTTGTTTTGACTTTTCAGGTCACTGAATGAAAGAACACTCAAACTGAGGTTCTACAGTTGGCGCAGAGCCTGTCTGGCTCTCAAGAACAAATATTTTGTTAAAGGAAAAGCAGTGCATCCCCAAAAGACAAAACAAAAAATGTCTTCAGAAGGATTGAGAATACTACAATATTAGGTGATTCAATGCACTCGTTATGAAAAAAACGTATCAGCTGCACACTGTTAGTACTGCCAGAACAGTAGAACCTGACAGAAACGTCTGTCAAGAGATTAAAGGATTGACCACTGGCAGCATTTTCCTGACATAAAACAATTTAATTACGTTATTCTTTAAACTGCTGACTTGGTATGACAAGGTTATTTCTGTCATAAAAGCAAATGGGCAGAGCCCAAGGACAAAGTATTGCTTTGTGTCTGCTTTTGTTTGTAACCAGTCTTTGATTAGGGAATGTATCTAGGTCCTGCCAGGGCCTAGTATGAGGAAGTGGGCTTACAGGAGTTTCTGCCAGATCATATCAATATAGACACTCTTAGGCTGTTGTGCCAAAGCAAGCCGTCATTGGCAGTCAAACAAAATTGTTTCAGTGCAAAAAAACACACATTCCAGCAATCTAAACTTCTTCTATCTTTATTGGTGCAGCTACCAGGCTAGAACATTAAGGAAAAAGTGAAAAAATACTCTTAACTCTAGATGAATCTCATTTCAAAAGGAAAAAAAAAGGGAATTATTCCAATGGAAGGTGTATCCTTGCAACAGTATCTGGAGAAAAATGAAGAGAGGCTGCCCTGCTCTTATCCAGTAGGCTGAGAAACTAAGAGTCAGAAGTCTCGATTTCATCAAACGTATTGTACGAATGGCAGGAAAGGATACCTAAGCAATAAAACTTGGCTATGCATAAGAGGGAAGGTAAGTTTTAAGATCTTTACTAGAAATAAACTAGAAATAAGCTATCAGCCAGAGCTGGCTCACAATCAAGTTGCTGTGTTGGACAATGTCAGATACAGCAGGGAAACAGCTTTCAGTGCTATGAGGTAGGGATGCTGGAAATTATTTCTAAGGAGTATGCAAAAGGTAACTAAAAAGCAAGCCTTTTTTCTGTCATGTTTATGTTTACTAACTGTGTTACACCAAGATTAAGGGTATGAAGACTGAAAATGTTAAAAACTGCTGATCTTCTTCTCTCCTGTTCTACCAGGAATTAGGTAACGTGACTTGGAGAGGAGCTGGGGATAAGATTGTAATTACAATTATGCCAATACTAATGTTGAAATAAAATAATTATATGCCTTTTAGGAAATGTTATGTTACGTTTGATCATATAGATTGACTATATTTTTGTTCACTGTGGTGCCTTGTATAAATTACTCATCCAACAAACTTTAGTACTGCTACATAAGACTAGGAAATGATTCATAACTCACGAACTGCGTGGATCCCATGGAGCTAGGCAAAGACCTGGGAGTCTTCACCTCAAACTCTCCTGTGGACTAGTCCAGCATGGCCAGAATGTGTGATCTAGGTGTCAAAATGACTGCATTTATTGACACTGGTAACCAGCAACCTGGAAACTGTCCAGTCCATGAAAGACACCTTGGGTTCCCCTGTAGCCATGACTATTTCTGTGTCATGTGACCTAGAGACAAATATGTGGTTTTGGCTGGAAAATAAAACTAGCAATTCTTTGAAAAAAATTTGGCTTGTGGTATCCTTTCACAGATGGTAAAATAACAGGGTAACGTAGGAAAAAAAAAAGATGAGAGGGGAGTTTGCTGTCCTATAACAGGGTTAAAATACAGGGATGGACTCAACATTGGGGTATTAGATGACATAATGAGAAAAAGCATTATAGAAGTGAGAAAGGGAAGGTGGCAGTCTTCTATGTGAGCACATCTGCTTCTCAAGAGGAAGATTTGTGGTACCTTTTTACGTGTGGCATAAGTGTGAGAAAGAGCAATGTCTCTGTTAGTCTCTCACAGTGGTGGTATCTCTAGGTCCTCTGTTTTCTGTAAGTGCTCTTCTTCAGTCAAGTACCTACCAGCACATTCCAAGAAGTCTTC